TAAATATGTCTTCTTGTGTTTCAGTGCAATAGCTAGTGAAGCATTCATAGACTCGCACCTTTGTGTTGAGCGAATATTGGCAAAGAAATGACCGGTTAGATATGCTTGTGCCCATAAGTGTCGTGTATTTCCCTTCTCAATCACCCATGGATGCTTTTGGACGTTGAATTCTGAAACAATCGAACGCCATTGAATATCAAATTCCTTGGTTGTCCACCAGGAAGCCATGCATTTTGAGAATGCTGCTGTAAACTTTGGGTCACCAATGTTAGCTTGTGCATTGCGAGAAAGATGCCAAGAACATAATCTGTGCTTAGCATAAGGATGACAGATTTGATAGCCCTCTGCATTGCCCTATCCCCATCGGTTACAACAGAAATAGGTGATTTATTCATCATGGCTTCTAAAAAATTCTGTAGCACCCACTCGAAAGATTGAGACGTTTCGTCAGCGATTATGGCAGTGGCAAACACAATTGTGTTATGGTGATGATTGACACCAACAATAGGCATAATTGGTCGACCATACAAATTATCTTTGTACGTTGTGTCGAACGCAATTACATCACTGAAGCATGTGTAATCCGATCTCGATGTAGAATCCGACCAAATAAGATTATACAATGCCCCCGATTCGTCTACCGAGTATGTCATAAAAAACCCGGGATCATCATGTTTCTTATAATCAAAGTAGGCAATAAGCGCATTCACATCCCCATCGACGATTTCCTTTGCTTTACCTCTTTGAAGTGCATTGTAGAGGTCTTTATGTGTAAATCCAACATTATGATAGCCCCTGCCTGCTGCGTTAAATAGTTCATTACTTGTGACGTGCCAACACCGACCTCTTTCAATGTTGTTGCCTCATCGATATCAGCCTTACTTACAGCTCGATTAGAACGCATAAATGGTGTCATAGCAGATGTGCACAATGCATGATTATGTTTCTGATCAGACTTACTTATAACCCACTGATCGTTTGTATTTGTTGCTGTAACTACGACTCTAGCCTTACATCTTGTTCTTGTGACTGGCGTATGAGCACGTTGACGATCAACAGTATTGACTTTTGATACTCGAAACCCTTCTTTGGAACAACAAAATTCTTGTGTCTTCACATTCCCTTCCACGTCAAGCCGTGTTGTTCCCTTACGTGCACTAAACCCATGTTCCCGTGCGAATCCCTTATAAAAGTGCCAAGCTTGATCACGTGAACAGAAGAGCTGACCAACCAATCTGTCAGATTCATCAACATTATGTACTTCATGGCATTCCTCGGTTGGCTTAACATTGTCTACATCAGTATTATCCATGGCAAAAATGTTGTTGTGCAAGTTCAGTGCTCCAGGAGTTGATGGATATGTAAACGAAGGTTCATTTTGAACATGTTTCTGTCGTGCTGCTTTCAATAGGATGTGGCATTGGTAGTGGTAGTTAAAGGGTGGGTACAACATTAAATTCGCAGTACATATTTAGGTATGTACAATAACTACAAGTATATTATCATTTTAAATTCGCAGTACACTGTTAAAAAATTGAAACATAAATTACATAAGTTTTAAAAAAAGTATCGATCCTTTTTATAAAAAGTATGGACACTTTCAATATAATAGGTAAACATATGATGTAATAGGTAGCCCTTATATAATGTAATAGGTATCGTTTATATAATGTAATAGGTAGTGGTTATATTGTAAAGTGTCTATCCTTTTTATAAAAGTGTCCATACTTTTTTCACTGTGGAAAACATTAATTTAAGGTTATCTTTTGAGTGAGTTTTAAGATATTAATTTAGTAATTATAGGCATCTAATGATTTATTTTTTACGTTACGATATATTATTATTAAATTAAAAATTCTAAAATTATTTTATAAAATATCAAAACAATCAAATAATTTTTGTGCAAATGAAATTATTAAATTAATATTGTAGGTGGAAAACATGAAACACTGTTAAAGTATCGATCCTTTTTATAAAAAGTATGGACACTTTCAATATAATATAATGTAATAGGTAAATTTGCAATGCTATCGGTATAAATATACCGGTTTACTTATAAAATAGGTAAATATAAGCGCTACCTATTACATTATATAAGCGCTACCTAGTATGTTATTGTACTTTATAATATTTCCGGTTAAATAATATAACATAACCGGTCTAAATTTTAACCGGTCACTTGTTTAACCGGTCACGCCGTATATTAGCCGTTTTTTAGGCGCCGCACCGCAGAACCACCCATTCATTTTATTGTTTTGTTTCAAAACAGGAGAGAGAGAGATGGCCGCCGTACACCGCCGACGTTTCACGACCGCTCATGGTGGCCGGAGGGAGCAAATATTCCCCAAAACTTTTCCTTTTTGATTTCTTAACCCGAATCCGATGCTACCCTCACCTAAAACTCACCCTAGCATTTAGATCTAACCGTATACCTTTCGAACTTTTCGGATTTCGACGACCCTTTTAACTTCCGACGAGCGTCGAGCACTGTAAGGCCTTCCCTCGTTTTTTTTAAATGTTTTCGTGTTTTCTCTCTTTTTTTCTTTTTGAATCCGATTCGAAAAAAGATATTTTTTTCAGTTTTGGGTAATTGCATATATCCGCTAAAGTTCTTGGGTTGATGATGATTTGTTTCGGCTATGGTAGGGGAATGATTTCCCTATGCCCACAGTACTCATTTCCGATTTTTCGGGATTTTTCTGACATTTTTAATGGGTTTTCTTATTTGTTTACTGTTGATGATGGCTTTTAACTTGTTCTTCTGTTTTTTCTTGATTCGGCCGAATTTGCTGACATCGACGATGGTGGGTGACATCGCCGGTGGTAGGACAGGCGTTCGGTCGACGATGGCGGCGCGACATGCCCCCTCTACTTGCGACGGCAGAAGCTTGGTAGGGGTGCAACCCTAATTTTGGGGTCATGTGGACCGTTAGATCTGCCGTTAGATCATCATTCAGATCTAACGGCTGAGATTGGGTAGTTGGCTTGGAATACAGTGAAACCCTAATTTGCTGCTTGGGCTAATCTGGTTTGGGCTTCTGTTTGGGTCTTGTACTTACTTGTTTGATTGTACCCTAAAAATAATAAAAATATTAGTACATATTTTACTTTTAAATATTATATATGTTTACTATTAAACCATAATTAATTAACACACATAATAGCATCTAAACGAATAATGGAAATAAATAAAATAAATAAAAACAACAACAAATTAATTATATTAATCAAAATAATCAAGTAACAATAAAATATTAAAGTATAATATTATTGAGTAACAGGACCAAATTTAGTTTCTACAATAAGTGTATAAAATTTTGGAAGAATGAGTAGTCAAAAACCTATACATATATGATATTTATTATGGCTACAGAATGATAAGTTTTCCTTGTCGCCATGCACTTGTCTTTACCCTGAGAGAGATGAATGGATATAACCAAAAACAAATTTAAAAATCTCAAGACAAAATCTTGAGAATGGTGGTCAGTAATCAGTAAGGTAGTCGTAAGGTCAATTTTGTGTCTCCACAAGTCCATGGATTTGACTCCACTGCGTGTGATTTTATGAGTATCAGTCGTAGGAGAAATAGCTAGCAATTGTGACATCTTAAAAGACATTGAAGACTCTATTCATGGTTTTTCTTGTTTGGTTTCTGAGAAAAAAATTCTTGGAAAGAAAAGGAAACATTGTTGTTAATGGCGGTGTATGTGTTTGCAGAAGGCATTATTAGTGAAAGAGACTTTGCCTACTGATAGTTGAGGTTAATAGCCCAAGGTTGAGCGAAGTCTGTGAATTGTTGCCTATCAGACAATCAATTGTTCTTACCATCAATGACGAATCTATAAATATTTTTTTAAGATAGACAGACGAGAATGCTTATAATGTATATTATACGACGGAGAAGAGTCGGAATATCTTCCAACAAGATGGTTAAGTTCTTTACATCAGCAGCCGCTCTGCATGAGCAGAAAGTTCCTAACAAGGAAAGATAAATGGAAGAGCTTTCAACATTTTACTTGCTTAATTATGGCATCAATAAGGGGATATGGAGGACCAGATAATCATTTTTATTCTCCAGATTGGTCCAAACGAAACAAACCAAGATATGAATGACAAGACCCTAAACAGAGGGGGGATTTTGAATAAATTTACATTGATACGACAGAAATGAAATCCGAAATTGAATCTATTGTTCATATCTATTTCGTTCTCATTTTCTAACATCGATTGCATGTCGGCACTGAGGATGAGGGTTCGATGGAGAATCCAACACCAACATCTCACGTTGTCGAATCTGCAAACAAGTGATCGAACATTGCGTTGATGTTTTAGAAACTGTAACATGTTGGGGTTCAAGGACTAATGTAAAAATGGATTTGAAGAAAGTTGTTGAGTTGTCAATTGCTGTCAAGTTTGATGGGAAGGATTCTGAATTTTATTAATCTTAAGCATATGCGTTGTCAACTTGTAGTATATTGGTGGGTTAAAAGTCTTAATCAAGTTCATGAATCTGTCTTGAAATCAACATCCCTGTGGGAACTTCTCGTCGAAAATTAGGTGACGATTAGGCTTTTCTTGTCTTTGATAGCAGCGGCGGCCCTCTTCCATATACTCATTTTTTTCGAATCGTCGGTAAAAAGCTAAAGATAAAACATTAGATTTAAGGTGACGGATCCTTTTATATCAGCTTTAGGATAGTTGTAACTACGTGTAGTTCAACCAAATTTGTGATTTATTTCTTAAAAAATAAATATATTATTACGGTGCCACAATGATCCTGAAATATGTTACGATGTTGCCGTTTACACAATGGCTCGTCACGAGGAAATCGAGAATGTATGACAGTAAGAATTATCCCATAAGCCCATTAGTCCTTAATGTGCCACTTTGCAGACATTCATGAGAGGAATCTACTGCTTCTGTAACCTCCTCTCAATATAATATTTTTGTTTCCATGCTTTTGTGTCAATCCTAAGCACTTGAAAGAGAGACCAGTGAAGATGGAGAAAGAGATTTACCGAGACTGCCGGAGAAACCGTGCATGCTCACTCGGCGGCTACGCGATCGACGGTTGCACCGAGTTCGTCCAAGGTAACAGCATCAGCAGTACCCATTGCGAAGCCTGCAGCTGCCATGCACCTAAACTAACATGGGAAAGTCGTCGTATTAGACTTGGAACGATCTCTGATCGCAACCCCTTTATGAGCCTGAGAGAGGTGAAGAGGATGGCCAGGCAGCGCAGCGTTGTCGTCCCGCCAACTCCGTCTACTTCGGACGAAGTGAAGGTCAAGCAGAGGAAATCGAAGTTCAGCGCGGGACAGAGAGAGGCGATGATAGAATTCGCGGTGAGCCTCAGGTGGAGCATGCGGAAAGGTAGACACGACGAGATTAACAGGTTCTGCGAGCGGGTTGACGTCTGCAGGCTAACGTTCAAGACATGGTTGAACAACAAGAAGAGTTACCTCAAAGGGACTGCAACTGCTGCATGTGAAGTTGAGAATTCTCCTCCCTGAGGCTGCTATTTTTTTAGAGTTTTTGATGTGTGATTTCATGTTGTTACCTTTTTTTCTCTTTGAATTTACTGCTTCATCAATAAAATGTTGCATCAACAGTAAACATGTTCCATTACAACGGTCCTTAAAGAAAGCCAATTAGGCTATATGGGTCCAATCTCATGGAGCATGTTGCCATCATTAAGCCCTAAGAGCCCATAGTGTATTAAAATATGGGTATACAACTCTGTTAGACCTAGAACCAAAAAGGGCTAAAACTATCAAAACTTGGCCCAAAAAATACCTCGAAGACGAGGGGTCGGAGTCCAATGGTTTAAAAAAATTTATCGAATTATTATAAAATAATTATTAAATTTATTTGTTTTTTACACTTATTATAAAGTCATAATTATCATTTTATACAATTTAACAAATTTAATGACTATTTTATGACTTTTAAAAGTTCAATAGCTAAAACGATCACTTGAACATAGTTCAATGACCTTTAATGTACTTTATTCTTTTTCAAATGGATTGGACATTGGGGTGAACATTTAACATGGGTTCTGCCCTGAACCCCATACCATAAGTTTAAGGTTTTTCAGCATAATGCTCCAAATGAAATTATATAAAATGATATGGTGATTGCAATGGTTGAGTAGCCTTATAAGATTGTTCAATCTTTAACTATATTTTGGGGATTATCTGTTGGTAGGTTTGAGGAAATCGAAGCTCCTCAAGATTTGGATAAGTGATAGTTATTGCAGCAGGTTTCAGTGAATGAATCTCTCCATGGGAGTAGGGATGACAAACGGGCGGGTCGGGTGTGGATACCCCCTCTCCCATCCCCATACCCACCTAATATTTTTTAATCTACCATCCCTCCACTACCCATGATGGGTAAAAATTTTCAAATTCACACCCGCCCACGCAGGTACATTCTCAAATCTATCCTCATACCTACTACATACTAGAGAAGTACCCGGCTAGACTCGTCTGACAACAAACTTAAGTTATACATAAGCAACAAACATAAAACAAACACATCTATTAATAAACATAATAAAATAAACCAATGATTATCTGAGTTAAGTGTTAATATAGATCTTAAAGTATATAAAACATCATAATAAAAGACATAATTAAAGTCTAGAAACATAAATGACAAACACATAATGTTTTTGTTCTTTGGCACAACATTCTAAAATTTCAAGCAATACTTGTGACATCTGATACTCCAGTATTACAATCAGCATTCTCATAAAACACCATAATAAAACACCAGTATTGCAAAATACTCGGTTGAAATTTGAATTTGAAAAAGTCGGTTTCAATGGCGTTAAAAATGGAGGTTTAAGAAGCACAAGTGAAACACTTAATTCTATTAAGTGGCGTTAAAAATAGAGATTTGAGAAGCAACGATCTGACCCTGTTAGACAAAAACGTGGGTGCTCAGTCACAAGATACTGATTTGTAGAACATTAAGAAATTAAGCTTAAAACAAAATTAAGATGAATCTAAAAAATAATTAAAAATCAATACGAGCAAATAAAAATTAAACTCTTAAAACGAAATGCATAGAAGCTTAAAACGAAATGACTACGGAAATGACTCTTAAAAAATTAAATTTCAAGTAAAAAGGGAAGAAACATACCTGAATAAGCTAGAGAGTGAAGACAAGAGGTTTGAAAGAAAAAAAATTTATGCATAAACTTATCCTTAATATTTGGTTAAATTATAAGTTATATCTTATACAATATTAGGATTTATAAATTAGTCTCTTAAAATTACACCTAAATTCATAATGGTCCAAAATTTAATGAATATTTAGTTAGGCGGACAGATGTGGGGCGGGCGGATGCGAGGAGGGTGGATGCGGGGCGGGTAAGGTCTCAAACCCATTACCCGCCCACTACCCGCGACGGGTACCACTTTCTAAATCCACACCCGTCCACTACCTACTAAAATTATACCTATCCCTGCCCCAATTAAAGCGGATGCGATACGAAATCCACGAAATTGTACCCTCTTGCCATTCCTACATGGAAGAGGATACTGGATAGGATAACATTATGCTCTGCAACCTCTTATTATTATACTCATTTCCATGCACCATGCATGCATGTGGTTTTCGTTTCGTAATTTCATCTCGATTTAAATTAGAACAAACATCAACATAATCAAAATGAATCCAAAATGGTGTCAATTAAGTATTAAAAAGAAGAGTTATGGCTACCAACGGGGTTGATTGGTAAATATTTTGATACCGTTTAAATATGTTTCGAATTCGAGTTTTTATGTACGTAGAATATCTTTACCAGGAGACTCATCCATCATAGTCAAGTATGTGATCCGGTATGGAAGGAAAAAAAATGGGTTATGGCTCGTGGGAAAGGCATGCACGTGAAGTGGACCCCATCAGCCATCAGCCATCAGCCATGTGCTTGCTGATTGCTGCATAACAAAACCTGGTTTTACATGCATGAGGCAAGCCAGAAATGCCAACCACTAGTTTTTTTAATTTTGACCCTCTAACTTCATCAATTTAATTGATTTAACCCTTAAACTTTTAATGACATAATCTTAACCTTACCATCCTTACTAACCTAATTTTCCTTAAAAGCAATAATCGACCGGAAAACGTAGCTATCTTGATTATCATGGAATATGAAGCCTAACATATGGAATAAAGTTAAATGTGTACAATCCGGGGTCGAAAGGGATAATTTCCGGTTTGGACTTTAGTGATCAAAATAAAAGTGAGAAGATAGTTGAGTGGTAAATGATGCATTTTTACCCATAAAAATGTGCCATATGCAAATCATACTTTAATCTTTTTAACGGCGAGGTACTAAAACAAAGAAAAACTAAATGTTAGGTATGATTTTAAAAAAATTAAAAGTTTAGATATTAAAAATGACTAAAACTGATAGTTTAGATACTAAAAGAGTAATTTACCCAAATAAAAAAAATATATATTTCATGCTCTAACTTGTTTCGAACCCCGCTATTAAATAGCCTGCCAGCATTACATTCCATAGTCGCATCTTTCTTTCTCTGTTTTTCATTTTCTCCATAGTTTCAACCAAGAGAAAACTATGGATCGAACGCTTCTGTTCACGTCGATTCTCGGGTTGTTCATAGTCTCATGCGCGGCGGAGCTTCGACGCTTCGAACACACCGCGAAACCAGACAGGTCGATATTGTGTTGTTGCAGATGGGAGTAATCGGAGAAAAATTAGTTATCGACTTTGTGATCTCGACCGGAGACAAATTTTACGAGAACGGACTGACCGGCGTCGAAGATCCGGCATTCCATGAATACTTCACTGATATTTATACAGCTCCCAGCTTGCAGAAACAAACAATGGTACACCGGTACTAATCTTCAATCACCTTCTCTCTCGTCACATATTCTCAATTTAATCCCTCAACTTTTAAAAAAATCATTATTTATTTTAATCGAAATAGTATGATCACATTAATCTTAATCAAATTGTTTTGGTTGCAGTGTTGGGTAATCATGATTATAGGGGCAACGTTGTGGCTCAATTGATCCCCATACTTAGAAAGATGGATGGAAGATGGCTTTGTTTACGATCTTTCATCCTTAATGCTGGACCTGGTAATAAAGCTTTTACACACACACACATATATATATATATATATATATATAAATATATATATTAACACATTTTTAATATATTTTTCTCATTATTTTTTGGCAGAAATTTTCTTTGTAGACGCTACACCATTCGTGTCCAACTACTTCACTAACCCAGAAGAACATGTTTATGACTGGAAAATACGTATTGAATATAAGTATCGTAGTTTCGCTAAAATGGTGACATTTTATACAGGAAGTGGAATCGGGACTGAGAGAGTCGACCGCGAAGTGGAAAATAGTAGTGGGACACCATAAAATCAAAAGTGCCGGACAGCATGGGAACACACATGAGTTCGACCTTCATCTCCTTCCCCTTCTTCAGGCATACGACGTTGATCTTTACATCAACGGACATGACCATTGCTTACAGCATATAAGCAGCATCGAGAGGTACATGCATGCATGCATGCTTTCTTATACGTATGTATGTATCTATGTTTGTATATGTATTATTATACTAGTGTGTGATTATGGTGCTAGTGGGATCCAATTCATGACAAGTGAAGGGGACTCAAGGGCATGGAGGGGAGATGATGGTACTTGGAATAACCCACAAGAAATGAAACTGTACCATGATGGACAAGGTTTCATGTCCTTGAAGATGACACAGACAGAACTCGACATTAAATTCTATGATGTTTTTTTGTGATCTGCACAAATGGAGCACTTCCAAGCAACTTTCTGTGGCTATCTAAGCAACCAAAGGAACAAACTTTGTTAATATTGACAATATTCAACTACGTATTTATTCTTCGTTATCGATGTTAAGATTCGAATTTTAAATTGTTTAATTAAACTAAACTTTTATTTTGTTGTAATCTATTGTGAAATTAAGACTATTTGGGTTGGTTTGCAAGTTCAGCCAGGTTGTTGCTTCATGCTCCAAGTGTTTGGTTATTTGTCTCAGTGATAATTATTAGCATGTACTTAAATTGTAGGGTTTTATGTAATAATAAAGTTTGATAATTAATGTAATAGCCTAGACTCGTACATCCAAAAGAATTTGTTCACGGCACGTTAGTTAGCCTTTAAGGCTCCGTTATAGTTATAGGTTAAAATATGTTCCAAGTTCATGTGTTCTTTTAAATTTAGAATTTAGTCCTTGTGCTTTTATTTTCAAGAGACTAGTCAACATTAAATTTAGAATTTATTTAACCAATGATATCAGAAGCATGATTCATGAGGGAATATTGTGGAGAAAATTAGTCAGCAAAGCATTTATTAATTAGTGAATCTCATTTATAAACAAAGATAATCAGAAGCATGAAATTGATTGATCCTTCAAAAAATTTATATAATTTTCTTGGTTTGATTATTGAATGCATGTTGTAATTTCAGTCGACAATTACAGTCGTATCTGTTCAAAGATGACTCTCATACTCCTGGCATTTCTGATGCTCGAACCCGAGACCTTAAGTAATAACAATAATTCTTTTACCACCGAAGTTACTTGGATGAACTATGGAATATAGTCTATATTTTAATAGGTCTAATTTTGCTCTTAGTCCCTGTATACATTTGACAGGGAGAATTCACAGATAGCCTACACTTCAAAAAAATTAGTAACAGAACTTGTAAACAAGATTTTAATAAGAACCAAAGTTAAATAAGGGTATGGAGTATCCACCTAGCGTGTGAATTTCATATGATAAGATAACAAAAAGAAAACATTTAAGTCTCAAAGGTTGCCGCTCTTTAAACTAATTGCAGTTCAGAGCCTACCTGGCTACCTCTTTTTCCTTCCCTCTCTTTCTCTGAACTGAACTACTAGCTGGTTTGCTCGACATTATTGCCGGTACATTGTTGTTCTTCCTTCACAGCTACCACATTGCCAGTTCCCTCTACACTTCCGTTGCAGTCTTGTTTCGGAGATTTTTCATCAAACCTCCCATTAGTTGAAGTTGTATGAAGATTGGCTTTCCCAATGCAGTTCTCTTTTTCCGGTTGGCAAGTTGTGTCTGCAGGGATATTAAGTTCGGTTACAGTTGCTAACTCCTGCGCTGATGAATTACTGGAGCCTGGTGGAGGAAGGAAAACTCCAGTGCCGGGAATAGGTAACCGAGGTGGAGGATGCCTTGGAGGAGGAGCCGGCCACCCAGTTGAACCAGGTGGGATAGGAACCGGAGCATGAAAAGGTATTGCAGGAGGAACTGGAGCGGGCACAAATAAAGGTTGAACACCATTTGGGGGTGGAATTTGTGGGCAATTTGGTGTAGCCGGGAATACAACCGTTGTTGGTATTGCTGTATAAGGCTTGGCACCGGCAGAAGGGCGAAAATGATTGGTTGATCTACTAGGTGGCGGACCCCATTTTGATGGCTGAGAAACCGAAGGTGAAGAAAGCCTCTGGTTGTCAGTCATGATTTTCTTTGGTTGATACTTAGTAAAAGTGATCAGTATGCGTTGCTTTCGGACGGAAGGAAGTGCATGTTTGGTGAAATCAGCTGATTTTCCTTGCATCATAAGTATAGAACTGCATGATAGTTATGGAATTAGGAAAATTATCAAAATATGTAATCTGGGGAAAAATTTTATATAGATATTATTCAATTCTAAACATGCACTGTTCTCCGAGCACATTGAAGGGTTGTGAGATAAGGATCGAGAGAAAACAGTTAAATAATTACCCTGGTGCAAGAGAAAGCTTTAGAGAGCCTCTAAAGTCCCCAGGATGATCAAATGCAATTACTCTTCCAACAGTAATATCGCACTCGGTCAAGAACATGATGCAAGCGGGTTTCCCATACCAAGGTGGTATGGTATGAGGCGGTGAATGATCCCCCTTGAAATTTAAAAAGAAAAACTTAGTATTAGTATTAACACTTAAGCTCATTTCATGCAAGCAAAACCACCAGAAGCACCATCATTACCTACCTCATTATAGACATCAATGATGCAAGAGTCCGGCTTTGAAGTTATAACTTGCAAGGTGACCAAGCGTTCAATAACATCTTGCAGCAAGGAGGGAATAGCTTCGACTCTCCGCTCTGGTAAAGCTCAATCAAATTAGAAAGCAATTGAAGTATAGTTATTTTAAAAGCAATTATCAATCGATAAATAAATATGTATTTAGTTACTATCTTTGTGCATGTGTGTGATTGTGGGGTGTTGTGTGTTTGGGGGGGGGGGTTAAGGAGGGGAAGGCAGTTCACAAAAACATGCCTTTGGAACTCCCTGCAGCAGTTTCATCGTCCAGAGGTGCATCGCCGATTGGAAGGCCCAACTGGATCATCTCTCTACCATGTCCCTTCATTGGCTTCTTTGAAGCCACATATGTCTGACCTGCTTCTCGTAAATTATTACTTAACAATTCAGCTTTTACTGATATCAGAATGCAAATAAATGTGAAGTAAAAAGGAACCAGCTATTTTGTTCGTACATTTCAGCTTGTCTAGGTCTTATTTTCCAATATTCTCATGTCGTAAACACTTTTTTCTTTTGGAAGTTGGGATACCTTAACTCCACATAATAGAGTTCCTTGCAGTTGCATCGGAGCAAGGGAAACCATGCTAAACAGTTAAAAATTTCCAACTGAAGCAAGAATCGAATAGAAATTTATAGGCTAATTATTGTGACTGCCCTACAGAGCTAAGTTCTAGCTGAGATTTATACAACAAAATAAACATGCATCGGTCAATTTACATGCAGGCAGACACCGTGATTATCATGAAAAGTAGAGATTATTCACATCTCTTATGATTCAAAATACATCTAGCTTACTGATACAAGCAAGCTAAGCTATATATATCCTCACAAGTGGTTCAAGGAAACTGAGAGTTTTCCAATGCCCACCACCAAGATGCTGTCCTTTTTCTAACACTTTTTTGTCTCGTCGTTATAATAAACAATGTACTCATCATATTAATCCCAGGCAATTGGTATCATGTTCAATAGAAAGTTCTAGAATAGAGAAAAACCTGAATGTTATAATGGAGCCAAACATAAACTAACATGCAATCTCTACCCGTTCCAAGAAGTTATAGCATGCAAGAATAATAGTAGTAATAGATAAACAAAAAGAACCATGATTTACAGTATAGTAAAGTGAGTTATAGCAGGAGATGCTGTAGGTTCAATTACATAACAGAAGATTGACCCAACCTGAAAATTGTTCAATATTCAGACCTATTTTTAATGATCATATTCATGGTCTAGTTCTACTTGGAAACAAAGCTAACGAGAAAATACAAATCCATAAAGGTCAGAAGATCATGTTTGCCAATAGGACAGCCAAGCTATGAGCCCTTTTGACCAGCCACTCACATGGTCAACCCATGCAAGCATTTAAAGCATAAGTCCAATAGAATAACAGCTCAGATATCATTCCACACTAAATAGGTTACTCCAGTAAAGCATACATTACAAAAAGAAATACGAACTTTTCTTTATGTGGAATTGATCATTCATATTTCTTTCCATTCTCATTGCATCAGAAATTTGAAAAATCGGCCCTATAGATAAAAGTAACCAAGGAACAAGTAGAAGTTTCCAAGGAACAAATGCAATTTATTAAAGTTACTTCCTTCTAGCTAGACCAAGAAAAAAATGAACTTGCAAGATTACTTGCCTTGAAATTCTCCTCTTTTCCCTGCGGCCCTTAAATCATTTACCAACGAGACAAGATTTGAAGCTTCCTTCTCATCAAACAGTTCCTCGTACAATTTTAGCCCATCCACCACATTGACCTTAACATACAAATAAAGGCTTATAAGAAGTTGAAACATTAGTGGAGGAAGGGGGTGGGATAGTACAGCATTACCATTTTTCCGTCTAACATCTCGTTGCAAACAAAAGTTTTTGGACCGGTAGCATTCTGCTTTCCATTCTTATTTTGGGAGGAATGTAGATCTTTCCCTAAAAGATCATTAATAGAAAAGATATATATTAATAAGAAAGAACATAGTGAAATCAGTGTTAAACGCTAAGGAATTATTCAGAAAACCTGAAATATGAGTTCAAGCGTTCAACATATTGTGCAGGTATTGAATCAAACGTGCAATAGCTAAATACCTTACCCAGTTAATTCCCACCCTTCCGAGCTATGAGAAAGAGATGATTTTCTTTTTCATTTTTTTTTCCTAAAAATAGACAAATACAATTGGAAAAGTTCAAGTCTTGGCCTTGAACCTTAAATACTCATAGACAAATAGACAAAAAGTACAAGTGAACCTTAAATGCACAACACCAAGACTCAATACTCATACATAGAGAAACTTCCAAGTTCAGGATCTTCTAAGAGCTAAAAGGCAACCGATAACAAAAATGGTACCTTTATAGCTTGATGTGTACCCTCCATTCACATCCTGAGTTCCAGGTTCTGTATTATCAGCATGAGGTTTGGAACCAACATCTGAGTACGATACATAATTACAATGAAAGTGTATCAATTAACTTTTTCTGAAAAAAAAATTAATTATTAGCCAATGTGGTATCACAAAGAAAGCTTAAAAATGAATCAAAAGAACCTTCAACAACAACAAAAGAAAATTTCCTTGAAAGTTAAAAGGAAAAACCAGGATGATTGCCTTTGGAACTGATATAATAAAATGTCCCATGCTAAAACACAATTCTAATTAAATTTAGAAAGGCTCTATTGGGATTCCTTAAAAGATAAAAGTATGTCAAACAAATACTTTTCACAACATGACACTCCAAGTTATTTATCCTCCACAAGATTTGGTAATAAAGTATGAGTTTTCATCCTCTCTAAGATTGCAAACTAGTTAATTAAATGCACGCCTCTTATATATTTTTAACAATCCCCAACTGTTAATTAGGTATGTAGGTATATGAATATTCAAGTCCAAGTGGCAAGCATGGAATGTGATAGCAATTTCCAATTAAAAAAGCTTGCTTTAAAATCCTTTAATTTTAATAGAAAACTTACCAAAAAAACAAACTATTACTTTCTAGTTTAGGACAATTTGCCAAATCCAAGAAAGAAAGCATATACAGCATAGACAGATACAACATCCTTTTTAAGCAAGTAGATACAAATTCCAGTCATCTCCATCAAAAATAGATGACCAAACATATCAAGCTAACAATACAATACATCATTCAATTTCACCACAATGTAAGTAAAACATATGAAAAAGAAACATGAGCCAAGTAGTTACCTTTTTTATCCTCAGTGACAACCGAGGCCATGCTCTTATCCTCCGCCTTTGCAACTCCACAACTTGGTCTAACTTCCTCACTCCGTTTCTCGTTGCGGTCGGAAACAGCGGTGACAGTCGAATTCCCATCACTATCCACCCCAGAATTATGCACTTCTTTAGCCACTTCCATCCTATGCCCCTTAAACCCGATGCCGGATCTTCTAAATTCCTTTCCCCCAGCCTTCCCTTGATCATAATGCCTTTCTCTCCGTCTCCACATAACCTGTCGAAGCGCCTGCGAAACTTCAGCAACCGAAAAGTATTGCTGCATATGAAGCACGGGGTTCCAATAGCATCTCCTTTGTTGAATGCAAGCTACGACGGCTTCATACTCCCCGACATCGCCGACCTCACGCAAATGTTGACAGAGGAAGTCAATCATAGCATTGGCAGCGGCGAATTCCCCTCGCAACCAATAGATAAAGCCGTCACGCTCATCGGGGAGCCATTGCCGAAGCTGATGCTGATGGATCTCTCCTCCTCCACCAACACCACCTACGACTCGACCAGAACCGCCGCCACTGCCAGATTCGGCAGCTGCAGGCGCAGGAAACTGCATTTTATTTGATAAAACTACATTTCCCGATGGCATTGACATTGAGGAAAAACAAACCTCTCTAAACCAATTCAACAATAAACCCAGAGTACTAAAACATGTATGAGCTAAAATACCCGTAATTCAGATCTAATCAATATAAATCTCACAAAATCCAATCGGATCACGTTAGCTCTTTAAATAACTCGACTTAAACAATTCCGTGAAACAAAAAACAAATGGGTTTCTTTTATTTCCTTGTTTGCTGGATTTAACCCGATCTAATGGAAGATTCGCAATGGGAAAAGGGTTTGGGTGGGTAAGGAGAGAAAGCAATGACGAAATAAAATATGGAAATTGGGGTTGGTCTAGTTTAGTCAGATCTGGGGAAAAATGGGTCTTTGTACAGTGGTTCAACACACTGACGTGAGTGCCAAAGAAACCTTTTTTTAAAAAAGAAAGAAAAGAAAAGTATAGACTTAGGTCGCGTTTGGTTCGCTAGAATGTATATAAGAGAATTAAAATCTGTGAAGGAATTGGAATATGTAGGAATTAGAATCTAATTTCATATTTTGTTTGGTTCGCATATATGTCAGATGAATTTGATTTCAGTAATGTAAAATGATAGAATTGTCCTTCTTTTTTTCTTCTTTATTTTAATTTATTTTACAACTTACGTGTAGTAATATATTATAAAAAATTAAAAAAATATCAAATTTTCATTTTATTGATTGATTATTCATTTCAATAAATTATAAAAATCATGCTAATAAACATTATAAGTTAAAATCATCGCAATCAAAATATGTTAATAAGTTATCAAAATATAAAACAATATTTCGATATATTCCAATCGGAGTATATTAATTAGTTACCAAAAAATATATCAAAAACTATTTGTATTTAATATATAAATTAGAAACTCGACCCGAAACGACTCAAAATAATAATAAAAATATTTTTATTCAATAAAAATATTGACTTAATTGAAAAAAATTATATATAGAGGGGTATTATTGTAATTATTCCTAAATATATAAGGTAAAATTATATATATTTTTCGGGTCGGTCCGGTTTTTTTCACCCTAAACCCGAACCCGACCTGATCCGAATATCACGCTTAAAAAAACCCGACCCGAATATCACACTTAAAAAATCCGACCCGACCCGAAATAATAAAAAAATTATTTTTATTTAATAAAAACAGTGAATTAATCCTACCCGACCCGAATTATATATATTTTCGGGTCGGCCCGATTTTTTCACCCTAAACCCTAAACCCGACCCGACCCGAATATCACACTTAAAAAACCCGACCCGACCCGAACAAAATAAAGTTTCATCCGACCCGACCCGAATATATGAATTAGAAATCCAACCCGACCGACCCGAAATAATAAAAAAATTATTTTTATTTAATAAAAATAGTGACTTAATCTGATCCGACCTTAATTATATATTTTCGGGTCGGTCTGGTTTTTTTCACCCTAAACCCGAACCCGACCCGACCCGAATATCACACTTAAAAAAACTCGATCCGACCCGACCATAATAAAATTTCACTCGACCCGACCCGACCCGAATATATAAATTAGAACCCCGACCCAAAATAATAAAAAAATATTTTTATTCAATATATAAATAAATTACCAAATGATTGATGAGGGTAGTATGATCAAATTTCAATTCCCTCTAACAAGAGAATTGAATTTCATCCATTTTTGGATGGAATTCACTTTCCCTTAATTGATGGAATTGAATTCCATCAGAGATTCCAATTCCCTTGAAAAACTTGAACTAAACATGAGAAAATGATGAAATTGGATTTTAATTCCCACCAATTCTTAGTGATTCCATCAAACCAAATGTCAACTTAGGTTTTTGGGTTTAATCGTATTTTGGGTGGAAAAGAAGTGAACTTTTCTGTGTGAGAGAGTGAAGATGAGCAAAAATGGCTTAGAGATCACGCAATCATATGTATGGTCTAATTGAATATTTATATTCTAGAGTTTGATAAATTATTTTTAAATAATATGTATATTTTCATTATATTTATTTATGAAGTATTTTCTTCAATAAAAAAACAGAAATTGAAACTTAAAATTAAAAAAAAGGAAAAAGAAAAATATTTTATTGAGCCCAATCTGTAAAAGCTATAGAGAGTCAACATAAACGATAAAAATGGACTGGGAAACTTTAACATATGGAAGATATGTTTGTATATCTGCTATCACCTCTCTCTATACACAAAACTGACCCCCCCCCCCAACTATATCATGATGCAAGATCTTATTTTTATTAAATGGAATCAGCCTCGGACCGGCTTGCTCGGCTGCGGTGGTGTCGTTTCCCATTGTGGCGCCTGCCTCCTCCGAACGTGACTGGATCGAACTTCTTTAGTCGTTTGGCCTCTTGGGGATTGAACAAGCATTCTTGAGGAGGGACTTTGTATCTGGTTTGGTCATAGCAATAAGAGTATGTCATGTGCTTCCTCCTAAAGCTACCCATCTTGCTTCTTCGCGACGGGGTGATACCGGTCATGAGTTGTTCCAGACTTTGAACGTTGTCGCACCTCTTTGACAAGAACTCGATCGGATCAACCGCACAGCCTTGAAGGATCAAATCTGAGAATTCGGCTAAGTAAGGAGCGTATTTGTAATCGACTCTGTATTTGCCACCATTTGTAGCCCAATCAGATCCATCCCATATTGTAGCATACAAAGACATTGGCTTGGAGGGGAAATCTCCACCCATTGCAGCTGTTCTTTTGAACTCTCTAATGGGGATATTGTCCACATAAAATCTGCAAAAACAAAAACATATCCATGTCAGATACGTACATGTATCCGACACTCATTCACGAGTCCACGTAACGTATAAACGGACAATTTAGTTATGCTATTATAAGAAAAAAACTAGAGAGGGAAGAAACAGGGGATGCCATTAGAAGCAAAACCCAGAGTTCACGTTGTTTAATATAATAAACATAGCAAAACAAGAAATCCAACCCTAAATCACTATAGAAGCATCAACACCTAAATCATACATTTCAGTGGTTAAAAACTGATGTGGATGGAGCAGAGATGAAAACTAAAGGATTTAACCTATAGTGGAAAATGGAAAGCAACACGACAACAAATTATAGGAGAGATGGTGAGAGCCTATGATATTCGGACTTGGGATGCAAGTCTGGACACATGTATTCGGAGGATCTGTAAGGGGTAATATTCCCGGATCCATGTTCGTTGAATACGAGTTACCTGAGCATGGATTTTTTATGCTCACATGATGTGAGAATCAGTCCAGAGAATGGTGTACTGATGGAAATCATCAGCGGGATCATAGGGGAGATGGTGAGAGCCTATGATATTCGGACTCAGGATGCAAGTCTCGACACATATATGCGGAGGACCATGAAAGGGTAATCTTCTCGTATCCATGTTCGCTGAATACGAGTTACGTGAGCATAGATTTTAGATGCTTACATGATGTGTGAATCAGTCCAGAGAATGGTGTACTGATGGAAATCATCAGCAGGATCGAACCAAAGACTGTATCTTTCTTCTCTGCCAACATCGGTGCTTCCATTGCCATAAACATTGGTCTGAATTCTCCAATCTTTACCTCTGATGTTACCCAAGAACTCGAAATCTATTTCGTCGTGGTTCTTCTCGAATATATCACCATTTGACATCTGTTATCACATAAAAGAAGAATCCATTTTCAGGACATTCATCTAATTCATTTCCCAGGAGTCATCTCCTTGAAAATGGAAATCTCTGCAACAATATAACATATTGGGAAAAGCGGAAGCTATCTGGAATCCACCACAAAATTTAATCAACAGAGGCAACTTTAACATGTTCATACTCGTGTGGATTTTGATCGGATTCTTAAACAGAAATCTGGGGGGGGGGGGTTGACAAACTCATCGAGTCAAATTAGTTTGATCAGAATTTTAATCACTATAATTTACACTAAACGGAAACCACAAGATTATAAAAAACGGATTTATGAAGAACATAGATGAACGCACATAGAATGCAACCACGACTCCAGCAGTATAATCAGCAGGCAACTTGATCGAAGCACTGAAGTAACCATGCAAGTAAAGGTCTTGAGAAACAAATCCAGACCCTGTTTTGCTCACCAACATCAAAGGAAAAATCTTTACTTTCAATAAAACAAGAAAGGAAGAAAAAAAACCCAGAAAACAAAACAGCCGAAAACAAACAAACCTGTTCTCTCATCCAAAGTCAAGTGAACAGCTTTACCATCTCTATGTAAAACAAGATTATCATCTCCAAACAACTGATTATACCCTTCATCGAATGTAAGAATCGGGAGTCCCTTTTCAGACCCAGAAGCAAGAACAGAAACCAGAGCCAAAACCAAAAACAAAGAACAACCCAGATAAGTTAGCTTCATCCCTATGTTTTGGTTTTTTCCTTGTTGGAATTTGGCTGTAAAATTTTAGGTCTTTGAGAGTATAGATTATAAGAGAAAGAGATGAGTAATAAGGAAGAAGACGAAAGGAATAATATTGATAAATATAAACAATAAATATTAATTTAGGGTCTTAAATATCCATGGTTTGGTAAAAGGAGGTTTGAGAAATCAAAGTAGACGAACTCAGAATTCAGGACAGGGTCAGTAGGCATGAACCCTTTTTACAAGCATGTCCTGAAAACAAAATGCTTGTTTTTATTTATTTATTTACTTATTTTCAAATAATTTAATGTAATTAAAAAAATTACTTTCCAAGACCAACTTATCACAAGACTAAATTTATTTTCTAATTTGCATGCTTTCATATGATTGGTTTTAATTTTATTTTGAGAAATAAATTAGTATTTAAAATCAAATCTGAAACTTAATATTAATTTATTTAAATTTATACTAAGATAAAAACATAAATATAGAGTATATCCTATGGAATATCATCTGATTGACTACATTTAGCATTAATCTAGTATTAAAAAATCCTACTAATTAACATCAAGTGACAAATTATCTCTCGATGACCCGAATTTAAATATTAATGTCTATAAAATATTTGTATAACTTTAATTTTTAATTAAATAAATCAAAGCTAAATAAATTTAGGATAAACTACGTGTTTAATACCTACACTATCATCTTTGGTCTATTTTAATATCTAAACTTTCAATTTTTTCAAAATTATACTTAAAGTTTAGTTTTTATTTCATTTAGTATTTTGTTGTTAAAAACTTTAGTTTTTTCGTCATTTCAGTACTCGTTCAAAATTTAACGTTAAGTTTTGAAAAAATTAAAAGTTTATATACTGAAACAGGCCAAAATTGATAATATAGATACTAAACGTGTTAAGTTTTTAACTTCAAATACTAAAATA